GGAAGAGCCAGTTGTGAGTGTGGGGGAAGTTCGTGAGGCAGTAGGTAAAATGAAAGGGGGTAAGGCAGCCGGGATTGATGGGATAAAGATAGAAATGTTAAAAGCAGGTGGGGATATAGTTTTGGAGTGGTTGGTGCAATTATTTAATAAATGTATGGAAGAGGGTAAGGTACCTAGGGATTGGCAGAGAGCATGCATAGTTGGAAATAAATGGTATAAAATACCGACACAATGGCAATATAAACACAAATGCAGTATAATGTGATCCTTTATTGACTACGTTTCTGACTTGAAAAAGCCCACTGTGTGGGCGAAACGTAGTCAATAAAGGATCACATTATACTGCATTTGTGTTTATATTGCCATAGCATGCATAGTTCCTTTGTATAAAGGCAAAGGGGATAAAAGAGAGTGCAAAAGTTATAGGGGGATAAGTCTGCTGAGTATACCTGGTAAAGTGTAGAGTTATTATTGAAAGAATTAAGAGTAAGAAGGAGAATAGGATAGCAGATGAACAAGGAGGCTTTAGGAAAGGTAGGGGGTGTGTGGACCAGGTGTTTACAGTGAAACATATAAGTGAACAGTATTTAGATAAGGCTAAAGAGGTCTTTGTGGCATTTATGGATTTGGAAAAGGCGTATGACAGGGTGGATAGGGGGGCAATGTGGCAGATGTTGCAAGTGTATGGTGTAGGAGGTAGGTCACTGAAAGCAGTGAAGAGTTTTTACGAGGATAGTGAGGCTCAAGTTAGAGTATGTAGGAAAGAGGAAATTATTCCCAGTAAAAGTAGGCCTTAGACAAGAATGTGTGATGTCACCGTGGTTGTTTAATATATTTATAGATGGGGTTGTAAGAGAAGTAATGCGAGGGTCTTGGCAAGAGGCGTGGAGTTAAAAGATAAAGAATCACACACAAAGTGGGAGTTGTCAACAGCTGCTCTTTGCTGATGACACTGTGCTCTTGGGAGATTCTGAAGAGAAGTTGCAGAGATTGGTGGATGAATTTGGTAGGGTGTGCAAAAGAAGAAAATTAAAGGTGATACAGGAAAGAGTAAGGTTATGAGGATAACAAAAAGATTAGGTGACGAAAGACTGAATATCAGATTGGAGGGAAGAGTATGGAGGAGGTGAATGTATTCAGATATTTGGGAGTGGACGTGTCAGCGGATGGGTCTATGAAAGATGAGGTGAATCATAGAATTGATGAGGGGAAAAGAGTGAGTGGTGCACTTAGGAGTCTGTGGAGACAAAGAACTTGTCCATGGAGGCAAAAAGGGAATGTATGAGAGTATAGTTTTACCAACGCTCTTATATGGGTGTGAAGCATGGGTGATGAATGTTGCAGCGAGGAGAAGGCTGGAGGCAGTGGAGATGTCATGTCTGAGGGCAATGTGTGGTGTGAATATAATGCAGAGAATTCGTTTTGGAAGTTAGGAGGAGGTGCGGGATTACCAAAACTGTTGTCCAGAGGCCTGAGGAAGGGTTGTTGAGGTGGTTCGGACATGTAGAGAGAATGGAGCGAAACAGAATGACTTCAAGAGTGTATCAGTCTGTTGTGGAAGGAAGGCGGGTAGGGGTCGGCCTAGGAAAGGTTGGAGAGAGGGGGTAAAGGAGGTTTTGTAGTGCGAGGGGCTTGGACTTCCAGCAGCATTGCGTGAGCATGTTTGATAGGAGTGAATGGAGGACAAATGGTTTTTAATACTTGACGTGCTGTTGGAGTGTGAGCAAAGTAACATTTATGAAGGGGTTCAGGGAAACCGGCAGGCCGGACTTGAGTCCTGGAGATGGGAAGTACAGTGCCTGCACTCTGAAGGAGGGGTGTTAATGTTGCAGTTTAAAAACTGTAGTGTAAAGCACCCTTCTGGCAAGACAGTGATGGAGTGAATGATGGTGAAAGTTTTTCTTTTTCGGGCCACGCTGCCTTGGTGGGAATCGGCCAGTGTGATAATAAAAAAAAAGAAAAAAAAAAAAAAAAAACAAAGTCATGAGGTATTTATGTAACCCCTTCACTGTCACAGCACTGAAATTTGAGGTGCTGATAGCACTGCGATTTCAAAGGAAATATAATATTATCTTCGGAAATGGTAGAGAACCTTTTTCTGAGGTTAATCACATCAAAAATGCAAAATTTAATAGAAAACTTATGGAACTATGCAGACACAAACTTGGAAGTCTGAGAACAACTTATACACTGGCAATTTTACCAACTTTGAGTCTTATTTTAGTTCAATCCAATTCTTAGCTATTTCAGTAGAATGCATTCTGTTCTATTGATTGAGCACAAGAAACCACTCATTCAACTATCAGAACTACTCCATAATATGCACAGAATTTAGTAATTTGGTGAAGTTTATACATAATTAAAAAATTCCAATTTAAAAAGAGAATCCAAAATATACATTGCAGGCATTCCAGCAACTAAGGTAACTTTTCCTCAGTTCATTAATCATGTCCTCAGGCCTCTCCTAAATAACACTTGCCCTCCATTTTGAATCCATCATTACACAAAAAATCTAAGTTTTATTCTATTTCTTAAATTAATGTAATATAACCAAGAATGAGCGGTCATGGTTTAGGCTATCCCAATAATTGGAGGACACTGAGTAAAAACCCATAAAACTGACCAGGGTGGTGAGGGCCCTACACTTCCTCAGAAAAATCACTAAAACTCAAATATTTCCAGCCTGAAACTGACTAAGATCATCTCAATTTCATTAGTGTATCTACCATAAAAACCACCCTATAAAACATCTCAAAACAGCTATTTTAAACCAAACACAAGGTCAGAGGTTTGCTTTTTCCCATCATGCACTGCATGGGGCAGGATTTATGTTACACTGTGCACACTCACCACACAGACCCATTCTCTCATGTTCGGGACAAAATTTACGACTCACAGAATATCTGAACGAGCTGTGTTAAAAACATAGGTCTTTGTGAGAGACACTGGCATCAATGACATAGATCTACATGGGAGACAGTGCAAGGGTTAAGCACTTTAGGATCTAAGTGTATATATATATATACCATGCCCTGTTGCCCACATGGCTGTAGATATGCCATACCCAATTGTCCACATGTCTGTATATATCCTATGCCCAATTAACCTACATAGGGGTACAGGGAGTTTACAGTACCCGATCAGCTACATCCACCATGTTGTCAGTCAAACACACAGTTATCATTCTCTAGACACCTATCATATGTGGAACAAACATGTCATAAAGTCAGACTGGGATCACTGACCACAGTGTTAGACATACACAGAAGGTAAATAGCAATTTTATTGTAGGTTACCAGTACATAGCTCCTTGTTTACACCAGTGAAACTGCAGAAAAGCTTCAAAGTCTAGAGTTTGGCAACCATACATGGCTGGGTGGGTGAGTGATGACATGGTTATGGCATGTACAGAGCAAAAAGATTTATATCATCACTGCAAGAGTGACATTTCAATATATGTACTTATTATTGTATGTGTATTACTTAACATCTTAATGTTTCTGACTCCTCAAGGGAAGTTCCTTGACACTAATAAGGGGCTCTTTATCCAAGGAATTGGACCTGTTCTCCCCAACCTTGAATTGGACTTGATTGACTCCCATTCCTCAGGTGCTGTATGAACCCTACAGGTTTAGCACTTCCTTGTAAATATAATAATATTATCTGTGAATCTGTACAATTGGCATTTATATTAATAAAATAAACAAGTTAACTGTTAATTAAAAATATAAATGTGTAACTGCTGGATCAAATCAAAATGAAATGTGCACAGAAATATCAACACAGTAGAGCAAAAATTGCATAAAATAGCACTCTGCTTGAAATTACACTTTTTATAGCAAGCATTATTATTATTCTTCATGGGGAACTGGAACAAAATTCTTCTTTTGTAAGCCATGCATGTAGTAAGAGGTGACTAAAATGCCGGGACCAAGGGGCTAGTAACCCCTTCTCCTGTATACATTACTAAATTTATAAAGAGAAACTTTCATTTTTCTTTTTAGGTCACCCTGCCTCGGTGGGATATGGCTGGTTAGTTGAAAAAAAACAATTTTTATTATTATTATTATTATTATTATTAGAGGAAAGTATTAAACATGTAGAGCTCATATGATGCCTGGCAAGGAGGATGCAATCAGGTATGATCCTAGGAAGGGGATGATAGGTCTAGTTCCTTGGCTCAAAAGCCCTTCACTGGCATCAAAGTACAGTATATCCTTTGAAGGGTATGTTGACATGAATGACTCCCACCTATTTACCCAAAGAAATAGATACACAAACACGTGTAGGATGGTGGCACCCAGTTTTGTCTTTTAATTGCTGCTACCCACTTTGCCTGACAGTCATTTTTGATAGGAATGCAATAAAGATACTGCATTCAGCCTCCTCCTGTTTGAACATCCCACAGCAAAGCAGGTCTCAGGCTTCTCAGAATCCTTCAACTAAGTACTGTTTTGTTGGGACCCACAAACAGTAAACAAAGTATCACTGTTTTACATCTGACTGGCAATATGCTCGACACTCACCCTGTGACATCACACCCAGACTTTCGACACATATGCTGTACCTGGTTTAAGGCTTAAAGATTTATAAAATACCTACTAACTAGTACCATAACACTTGTAATTAACAATTAGGCAAGAAACTTGTCACACAAGAATGCTTACAACTGTAATTTTGTGATCCATCTCCCTTATTCCAACTAAATGACTGAATAATTCAGTGATCCATCTCCCCTTATTCCAACTAAATAATTGAATAATTCTGTGATCCATCTCCCATTATTCCAACTAAATGATTGAATAATTCAGTTATCCCTCTCCCCTTATTCCAGCAAAGTGACTGGATAATTTATGATCTATCTTCCTTTATTCCAACTAAATCACTCAGTTATTTAGTGATCCATCTCCCCTTATTCAACTATATGACTGGATAATTAACTTATTTTATCCCTTATTCAAAGAAATGAATACACAGTTTTGCAAGACAGAAAAACACACCTGGATATAGGGCACGATACTGCTGCGACCAAAAGGCACATACACGGGTTCCTTCTGCAAGAAATCTGGTGGTACCAGGTTTCACTTCCTTCCACTGAAATAGGAAACATATCAGTGCATAACACAAAATAATAAATCTTATATACTATGGCTCTAACAAGGCAATTCTTACACAATTTTTGTCAATTTTAATTTTAATATTGTTATTTTTTTATAGTTGCTTCTCTTGTTCTCACAGCCAAGTGAATTACAATGATATACTGTACAGAAATTTATGCTGTACTGTACATCAATAATGTGCTTTTAAAAAATTTATGTTAAGAAGTTAAACCATCAATCAAATAAACTTACCGACTGTTCTAGAAGTTCTTCTCTACAATAGATATGTGGACGTGATCCCCGTTCACCATCTATGACAACACCATACACATCAGGAGGTCTAATGGGGACTACATTTCCTGCATATAGCAACCCATCTTGTAGCACCAATACTCTTGCCTTGTCAACTAGATCACCAACCTCAATAACACATACACTTGGCTCTGTTACAAGGAAAACAACAATTTGTTTTAAACACTCAACTAAGTTCAGCAAATATTTATAATTCTTCTTTTTTTTAATATTAGATTTTACTCTTTATTCCACCTGGGTCAACACACAATGTAACTATTACCAGTGTTGCAAGCTCTATTTCTCACTCTCTATCCACATCATTTCTCAGTAAGGTAAGGTGATTCAAAGAAATATACCTTTGATGAGTTTTGAGAGTTTTTCTTCTCCCAGAGCCCAGCCTTGGGACAGGTTCTGATGTACTGTACATAAAAAGGAAGTTTGATATAGCTTTCCTCTGCCATTATTTCAGAAAATATTGAAATTCTTACTGGAAGAAAAAAGTTCTCAAGACAAAGTTCCTTTAGTTACAGTTCCTAAGAATGTTTGCTTTATTAAACTTTCTTTTTAAGGACATCCAACTTATAGTATTCTAAATGGCTGCAAGTTAGTTAACCACATACTAAATTCAATTACTCCTTTGTGAATCCACTTCCTATATGCAGTCATTTTAGGTTAAAGGATAATGTAGCTACAACACTGTGTTCAATTATAGTATATCAGTTCACTTGTTCTTATAGTTGTATCAGATGTGTAGGGAGCACTGTACAGAGTTTTAAGACAAGAATTAGTGAACAAAGGGGTCTGTTATAAAAAAAAGCCTTACTCCTCTGGCCAAGCTGCCTCACTCAGCTATCATAATTCACTTGGAGTTTCACAATCATGCACTGAGTACAGGTGACATTAAAATTATAGCTAAAGCACAAAACTTTGGATTTAAGAATTGTAAAGAGCTTATATATTAAAAACTTTACTATAGACTCAATGATGATGATTCTGCAATTAATTAGTTTACTCTGAAATAACTTTAGTTTACCTCTTTCTGGTGAGTTCGGTTTTATGTTATTCTATATGTTTTGAATAGTAACCGGTTAGTAATGGAAGACATAAACAATACCGTCCTCCTTTGTTAGTTTACTAAAGTTTCAACTTTTTTTCATTTTCTGTTAATGCTTTAGTGTAGAGTATGGTATTTCCAAAGCCTTCCTCTGTAACTTATTGTAACTTTCCTTAGATAGCACCCACCATATTTCATACAGGACAGCTAACCACCTCTCGACTAGGCTAGTTTAATTAATTTTTGTATACCGTATATTGTATACTGTCTACTGTTATATCATGTTCCAGAAATGAACCCAGATGATGGTGACTGATTTATCTCTGAAACAATGATTGTATGTCAATAAATGTCCTAAGAAGTTGCAAGTCTTTCTAACCTGTTATAAATATTTTTTTATGCAAAGGCTGAGTGACCCTAAGAGGAAAACCCATTCACCATCATTCATTCAACTGCTTTCTTTCCAATAGTGTGCTAACAACACAATTCAGATGCCCTTCAAAAGCAACATCCCCAACCCACCTTCAAAGTACTGGCACCACCCCTGCTACTGCAAGACAAGTCCCAAATTAAATAAAATAAAATATTTTTTTTTATTAACACACTGGCTGTTTCCCACCAAGATAAGGTGACCTGACAATGAAACACTTTCATCATCATTCACATTATCACTGTTTTGCCAGAGGTACACAGATACAACAGTTCAGATGTCCCTCCAAACAGCAAATATCCTTAACCCTCCTTTAGAGTGCAGGCATTGTATATCCCACTTCAGGACTCAAGTCTGGCTAACCAGTTTCCCAACAATAACAAATGCCCCCACCACCATCCCCACCTTCAAGAATACTCTTTCTTTTCTGATGCTTCACATTACTCCCTTTATATACTCTGTGTCTATGCATTGTGTTGTTTATTCCGTTTTGACAAAATTTCTCATGAGTCACACGTTAGCAAAAAATGTCTTATTAGTGGTATATGTGTCCTTTGACATACCACATTGTTAGTAGTCTTGCTATTAATTAATTATTATGTCTGATGCTACAACAAAAGAGACATTGCCAGCATACATTACCTGACTCTCTTCTCCACATTCACAGTCTTCACAATAAAATAGTTTCTTACCAGACTGCCTAGCACAAAAAGTGATCCCTAACTTTATTCCATCACACTCCAACTCCACTATCACTTGAATCCATCAAACACCAAGATTTTTACTACTGCTTGTTGCTCACCCACTACTATTTCTGCTACTCTACTACTATTGCTACTACCATTATAACTACATTCATGAATACCCAGAAATTTCACCTTACACCATTTATATAAACCTCTGTGTCTATTCATTTTACTGTTTGTACTGACCTGACAAAGCTCCCAGGAAATGAATCAAAGCCATGGTAAATGTTTTATTAGATGCACATGTGTCTGTTACTCTAACAAATAAAAAAAGGAAATTTAAAGTGAATCAAGAAACATCATGGTGATGAAAATATGTACTGTAAATATATAAAGAATAAAAGGAAGGCAGGAATGTGGAGTGAGGAAGTGAACATATTCATATACCTGGAAGTGGTTGTGCAATATTAAAAGATGGGTCTACATGGTTGTGCAATATTAAAAGATGGGTCTACATGAAGTTTGAAGCAAGTCACATTATATGAGGGAAAAGACACCTGCATGAGGAAAAGGAAAAATGTTTGCCAATGGATGCAAAAAATGAAAATGCATCAGAGCAGAGTACCACCGATGAATGAGCATACTGTAGTTGGAAAGGATTCTTAAATGTTGCTACAAGAAAGAGACTGTATATAGTAGAAAAATCTTATCCTCAATCAATTTGTATGGTTTGAGTAGTGCACAGATACACAATGAAGAAATTAGAAAGTATGGTATGAATTGCATAATGCAAATAAGCAAAAGGGCTGCCTAGATGCTGTGTTCATAAAGAAGAATGAAGTAAGTTGATATAATAGTGCAAAAGATAGTAGGTGGAAGTAAGTAGGTGTAACAAGCACCTGAGAAAGCACTGATGGAAGATGTGAGAGAGAGATTAAGGGGCAAGATGTAACAATGTGTTAAATCCGAATAAATGAAGGAAACTTGCCCACGAGATTTAATATACGTACTACTGGAATGTGAGAATGATAATGCCTGCAAAAGGGATTCAGGAACATTGGCTAGTCAGACTAAGTTTTGGAGATTGTACTTTAAAACCATGGTGAGAATATTGAGGTCAAGTGAGTGAACAATGGATTATGATGTCTGTTCAATTCTGGAAATGCAACTAGAGAGCTGGGGATGGTGAATGTGGTTTCTTCTTTGGTCACCCTGCCTATTTAATAACACTGTTAACAGCCAATGTAAAAAATAAGAAAAATCAAACAATATTAAAAAAAAAAAACATTAGTTTAAAATTACACTTGTGATGCTATTTAATACAAAAACTTACCTGGTGTTTGCATGGTGGGTCTTGTAATATCACTGGTGGTGGTAGTAGTTGTGGTTGTAGTCGTAGTGGTGGTTGCCGTGACAGTGGTAGTAGTGGTGGCTGTGGTGGTGGTCATGGTGGTCATGGTGGTCATGGTGGTAGCTGTGGTGGTAGTTGCAGTGGTGTCTGTGGAAGAGGTTGCTACACTCGCAGATGTTGTGGATGAAGAAGCAGAGTCACCAGTTGTGAGGTGTTGGGTAGTCTCATGTTCACTACTAGAAGACTCGGCACCTGCATCTTGAGTTTCTTCTTTATCTTCACGATCTCTCTCCTCTTCTGATTCATCGTGCTCAGCAGCAGCCATGGTCGAGTGCTTTTTGAGGGATCTGGATCAAAATCATTGTGCATCAATTCTGAAGTCACTTTTAAAGGACTTATAAACAGTACAATGCAATATATGCTGAAACACCCATGTTTATGTATTTTCTATATATATGACCCATCCAGGATTGGGATGCTGATGCTGGTAAAGGGGTCTTGATCAAAGGAATTGAAGCTACTCTCTTCTTCAATGAATAATATTTGATTACTGTGGGTTTAGAATTTGTTGCTGAATATAATAATAATCTGTATAGATGTAAACTTAAGTGTTTACAGTGTATAACATTGATGGAAGTGAGAGTAATCTAGGCATGGATCCTATGAGACAGAAAAAGCTAGAAAGAATTAAATACTGTACAATATAAAAAAAATACTAAAAAGTATCAATTCTAAATGGAAAGAAAATAACGTAAATAAAAAAGATTGTGAAAGCTTTTGTCAAGGTATTTCTCTAGATGTGGGCTGAAACAAGTTGATAATAATATTCATACAGCCATGACAATGAAAATATTTCCATAACAAATTTAATGCTCCTAACCTGTAAAGAGCTTCCATGTGCGACTGTTTCTCTGCAGCAGATTTACGTTTTTCCTTATCTCTGAGCATGGCTCTCCTAGTGAGGGATGTGCGACCTCGTGGGCATCCTCTTTTTCTTGCACCTCGCAAAGCATCAGCATTACTCACACACATTGTCTGAAAGAGAACACTTCTTTGGTTACCAAATACTTTAACCATTTTTTCATTGATAAATAAAAGTGAGTTTGCTAGGCTACACACAATGCTTTATTTGTGCCTAATACCTGTGACCGGTTTCAAGGTCTCTTCTACACCAGCAGCCCAACCTGAGGCCAGGATTACCCATTGACTGCCTAGTCAGACAGACTGTTTTTAACCCTTTGACTGTCGCGGCCGTATATATACGTCTTACGAGGTACTGTGTTTGACGTATGTATACTCATAAATTTTAGCGGCTTCAAATCAAGCAGGAGAAAGCTGGTAGGCCCACATGTGAGAGAATGGGTCTGTGTGGTCAGTGTGCATCATATAAAAAAATCCTGGAGCATGCAGTGCATAATGAGAAAAAAAAAACTCCGACCGTTTTTTTTAATTAAAATGCCGACTTTGTGGTCTATTTTCGTATAGTGTTTATGGGTGTATTCTCGTTTTCTTGGTCTCCTTTGATAGAATGGAAAACATATTATAGAAATAGAGGTGATTTTGATTGATTTTACTATAAAAAGAACCTAGAAATGGAGCTCAAAGTAGGGGAAATGTTTGATTTTTGCCAATGTTCAAAAGTAAACAAATGATGCCATTGTCCAATAAATGTCCAACTAGCCATTCTAGTATGCAGTCATGAATGGGTTGATGTTATTTATACAGTTATTTCAGTATTGCAGTAGTCTGCATAATAGTAAGTCTTCTATTTTTTGTTTGAATAAAAATTCAAAATAGAAAGCAAGAGTAATATCAGAGGGGCCTGGAGACATGACCGATGAACAAAGAAAATGTTGTTTTAGAGCTAGGAATGTCTGCATTGTTCATTCTGGACCTTATTTTGAAATTGTCATATTTTTTTGTTTTCGTGAAATTGGCCAAACTGCAAATTTCTGACCACATTATTAGGTAGTTGAAATCGGTAAATGGGCAGTTTCTTATACTCAATCGATAGAAAAAATGGAGTTCTAAAGAAATAGCTATGAGTTTGGGCGACTGGAACAATGGAATTAGCCGAAAATAGGGCTCAAAGTGGGCGAAATCGCCGATTTGTAAACAGCGCCGAGGTCGCTAACTTCGTGAGAGCATAATTCCGTCAGTTTTCCATCAAATTTCGTTTTTTTGGTGTCATTACAATTGGGAAAAGATTCTCTATCATTTCATAAGAAAAAATAATTTTTTGTTTTAAATTTTGCGACACCAGGAGACACCTCAGGATTGGGGGTTGCGACAGTCAAAGGGTTAAAAAAACCATATCACAGGCGGGATTGAACCCGTGGTCAGAGAGTCTCAAAACTCCAGACCATCACGTTAGCCACTGGACCAGCTGAGTCATGAGTCGAGTCAGACTGTTTTTGTTAGCAGTTTGCAGGCCCAAAGAGCCATCAAAACCCAGCTGATCCAGCACTTGTAGAAGGAAGCTATCCAGCTTCTTGTAAACTTTACCTTCATTCTGACAGATCACAAAAAAAAAAAAAAAAAAAAAAAAAAAAAAAAAAAATACCGGACAAAAATATACATAAATGAAAATACAGTGCAATACGTGTTATTTCTTCAATGTCTGTATTGTCATCATTGTCTGTACTACACACTGTATGTAAAGTTTGCATGAAAATTAAGAGAAATCTACTTTTTTTTTTTTTTTCAACAAGTCGGCCGTCTCCCACCGAGGCAGGGTGACCCAAAAAAGAAAGAAAATCCCCAAAAAGAAAATACTTTCATCATCATTCAACACTTTCACCACACTCGCACATTATCACTGTTTTTGCAGAGGTGCTCAGAATACAACAGTTTAGAAGCATACACATATAAAGATACACAACATATCCCTCCAAACTGCCAATATCCCAAACCCCTCCTTTAAAGTGCAGGCATTGTACTTCCCATTTCCAGGACTCAAGTCCGACTATATGAAAATAACCGGTTTCCCTGAATCCCTTCACTAAATATTACCCTGCTCACATTCCAACAGATCGTCAGGTCCCAAGTAACATTCGTCTCCATTCACTCCTATCTAACACGCTCACGCACGCTTGCTGGAAGTCCAAGCCCCTTGCCCACAAAACCTCCTTTACCCCCTCTCTCCAACCCTTTCGAGGACGACCCCCACCCCGCCTTCCTTCCCCTATAGATTTATATGCTTTCCATGTCATTCTACTTTGATCCATTCTCTCTAAATGACCAAACCACCTCAACAACCCCTCTTCTGCCCTCTGACTAATACTTTTATTAACTCCACACCTTTTCCTAATTTCCACACTCCGAATTTTCTGCATAATATTTACACCACACATTGCCCTTAAACAGGACATCTCCACTGCCTCCAACCGTCTCCTCGCTGCTGCATTTACCACCCAAGCTTCACACCCATATAAGAGTGTTGGTACTACTATACTTTCATACATTCCCTTCTTTGCCTCCATAGATAACGTTTTTTGACTCCACATATACCTCAACGCACCACTCACCTTTTTTCCCTCATCAATTCTATGATTAACCTCATCCTTCATAAATCCATCCGCCGACACGTCAACTCCCAAGTACAGTGGACCCCCGCATAACGATGGCATCGCATAGCGATTTTTCCGCATAACGATTACTTTTATCGCAAAATTTTTGCCCCGCATACCGATTAAAAACCCGCATACCGATTTTCGTCCGAGACGCGTCCAATGTGCCCTCACATGTGCCGGCCGTCCCATTGTTTACCAGCCAGCCTCCGCGGTAACATCCAAGCATACACTCGGAATATTTCGTATTATTACAGTGTTTTCGGTGCTGTTTGTGGAAAATAAGTGACCATGGGCCCCAAGAAAGCTTCTAGTGCCAACCCTGTGGTAAAAAGGGTGGGAATTAGTATGGAAATTAAGAAAGATTTTGAAGGGTTTGGGGCTAACCCTGAGAAGCCTATGCCAGTTGTGGAATCCATTGTGCCTACTTCAAAGATTAAGGAAATGTGTGCAGAGTGGGTTGAACTGCAAACCTTTATAGATGAAAATCACCCTGACACAGCTGTTGCAAGCCGTGCTTGTGACTATTTCAATGACAATGTTATGGCCCATTTTAGGAAAGTCTTGAAGGAACGGGAGGTACAGAGCTCTATGGACAGATTTGTTTGCGACAGAGGTCCAGTGACTCTCAAGCTGGTCCTAGTGGCATTAAAAGAAGAAGGGAAGTAACCCCAGAAAAGGACTTGCTACCTCAAGTTTTAATGGAAGGGGATTCCCTTCTAAACAGAAAAGATAACTCTCCCCCTCCTCCCCTCATCCCATCAATCATCACCAATACTTCAATAAAAGTAAGTGTCCATGTAATTGTGCATGCCTTTTTCAGTTTGTGTGTATTAAAATTAACATTTCATGTGGTAAAAAAAAATTTTTTTCATACTTTTGGGCGTCTTGCACGGATTAATTTTATTTCCATTATTTCTTATGGGGAAAATTGATTCGCATAACGATTATTTCGCATAACGATGAGCCCTCTTGCACGGATTAAAATCGTTAACCGGGGGTCCACTGTATCTGAAAACATTCACTTCTTCCATACTCCTCCTCCCCAATTTGATATCCAATTTTTCTTTATCTAAATCATTTGACACCCTCATCACCTTACTCTTTTCTATGTTCACTTTCAACTTTCTACCTTTACACACATTCCCAAACTCATCCACTAACCTTTGCAATTTTTCTTTAGAATCTCCCATAAGCACAGTATCATCAGGAAAAAGTAACTGTGTCAATACCCATTTTGAATTTGATTCCCCAAAATTTAATCCCACCCCTCTCCCGAACACCCTAGCATTTACTTCTTTTACAACCCCATCTATAAATATATTAAACAACCATGGTGACATTACACATCCCTGTCTAAGGCCTACTTTTACCAGGAAGTAGTCTCCCTCTCTTCTACACACCCTAACCTGAGCCTCACTATCCTCATAAAAACTCTTTACAGCATTCAATAACTTACCACCTATTCCATATACTTGCAACATCTGCCACATTGCTCCTCTATCCACTCTATCATATGCCTTTTCTAAATCCATAAATGCAATAAAAACTTCCCTACCTTTATCTAAATACTGTTCACATATATGCTTCAATGTAAACACTTTATCTACACATCCCCTACCCACTCTGAAACCTCCTTGCTCATCCGCAATCCTACATTCTGTCTTACCTCTAATTCTTTCAATTATAACCCTAACCGTACACTTTTCCTGGTATACTCAGTAAACTTATTCCTCTATAATTTTTACAGTCTCTTTTGTCCCCTTTCCCTTTATATAAAGGGACTATACATGCTCTCTGCCAATCCCTAGGTACCTTCCCCTCTTTCATACATTTATTAAACAAAAGTACCAACCACTCCAACACTATATCCCTCCCTGCTTTTAACATTTCTGTCATGATCCCATCAGTTCCAGCTGCTTTACCCCCTTTCATTTTACGTAATGCCTCACGTACCTCCCCCACACTTACACTCTGCTCTTCTTCACTCCTAAAAGATGGTATACCTCCCTGACCAGTGCATGAAATTACTGCCTCTGTTTCTTTCTTAACATTTAAAAGTTCCTCAAAATATTCTCGCCATCTACCTAATACCTCCATCTCCCCATCTACTAACTCCTCTACTCTGTTTTTAACTGACAAATCCATACTTTCCCTAGGCTTTCTTAACTTGTTTAACTCACTCCAAAATTTTTTCTTATTTTCATTAAAATTTCTTGACAGTGCCTCTCCCACTCTATCATCTGCTCTCCTTTTGCACTCTCTCACCACTCTCTTTACCTTTCTTTTACTCTCCATATACTCTGCTCTTCTTATAACACTTCTGCTTTCTAAAAACCTCTCATAGGCTACCTTTTTCTCTTTTATCACACCCTTTACTTCATCATTCCACCAATCACGCCTCTTTCCTCCTGCCCCCACCCTCCTATAACCACAAACTTCTGCCCCACATTCTAATACTGAATTTTTAAAACTATTCCAACCCTCTTCAACCCCCCCACTACTCATCTTTGCACTAGCCCACCTTTCTGCCAAGAGTCGCTTATATCTCACCCGAACTTCCTCCTCCCTTAGTTTATACACTTTCACCTCCCTCTTGCTTGTTGTTGCCACCTTCCTCTTTTCCCATCTACCTCTTACTCTAACTGTAGCTACAACTAAATAATGATCCAATATATCAGTTGCCCCTCTATAAACATGTACATCCTGGAGCCTACCCATCAACCTTTTATCCACCAATACATAATCTAATAAACTACTTTCATTACGTGCTACATCATACCTTGTATATTTATTTATCCTCTTTTTCATAAAATATGTATTACTTATTACCAAATCTCTTTCTACACATAGCTCAATTAAAGGCTCCCCATTTACATTTACCCCTGGCACCCCAAATTTACCTACTACTCCCTCCATAACATTTTTACCCACTTTAGCATTGAAATCCCCAACCACCATTACTCTCACACTTCTCTCTTCTCCAGGTGCATACACACTTATTATAACCCACTTTTCACATCCAATCTTTATTTTACTCCACATAATCCTTGAATTAATACATTTATAGTCCCTCTTTTCCTGCCATAGCTTATCCTTCAACATTATTGCTACTCCTTCTTTAGCTCTAACTCTATTTGAAACCCCTGACCTAATCCCATTTATTCCTCTCCACTGAAACTCTCCCACCCCCTTCAGCTTTGTTTCACTTAAAGCCAGGACATCCAGCTTCTTCTCATTTATAACATCCACAATCATCTCTTTCTTATCATCTGCACAACATCCACGCACATTCAGACTTCCCACTTTGACAATTTTCTTCTTCTTATTCTTTTTAGTAATCTTTACAGGAAAAGGGGTTACTAGCCCATTGTTCCCGACATTTTAGTTGACTTTTACAACACGCATGGCTTACGGAGGAAAGATTCTTATTCCACTTCCCCATGGATATAAAAGGAAAAGTAATAAGACCAAGAACTATTAAGATAAAATCAAAGAAAACTCAGATGAGTGTGTATAAATAAATGTGTATATGTATGTGTAGTGTGACCTAAGTGTAAGTAGAAGTAGCAAGACATACCTGTAATCTTGCATATTTATGAGACAGACAAAAGACATCAGCAATCCTACCATCATGTAAAACAATCACAGGCTTTCGTTTTACACTCACTTGGCAGGACGGTAGTACCTCCCGGGGTGGTTGCTGTCTATCAACCTACTACCTACAAACAAAACTAAATAAAAAACAAAAGTAAATCAGTATATTCTTTACTGATTTTACCTATGTGATGTTTATCTTAGAAAGAATCACTGCAGCTCTAGTAAATTGTTAGCTGATACAGTTAAATACACATTTTTTCAAATGTGTTTGACAAGATAGCCACAAAATAAAACATCTGAAATGAAAAAAGGTATACCAGACTATAAAAACAAAAATACTTTATGACAACTGCAAAAAATAATGTAATGCTAATCATTCTCTACAATCAAATTAACTCAGAAAAAGCACTTCTCAATTTGTATTAAACTATAAAATGTGAATAGAACAGGGGATGAAATATGTAATCCATGCACTATTACCATACAATGGTAATTACCCACGCTTATAATAATGCCTTTTATATATAGCCTTCACACTTACAGTGACTTAAAAAAGAATAGCATAACTCATTTGTTCATAAGCTGTCAACTTACAGTCTTGTGGTCATCATCATCTTCGGAGTGGTCCTTAGAGGTGTCTGTATTGGAGGACAACTTGTAGTGTGAGTGAGGCTCTGCATCTTCATCTTCTTGGCCAACCTCTCGTACCTGACACATGGAAAACAGGATTGTGTGTTATGTACAATATCAGGGCTTTCAATATAGCCGTTAAGTGATAATTTCTTCCAGCCTTCTGCTGTGCAAACTATTGAAATACAGTACTTTCAGTAAACTTCTCAGCATTGCCTCCCATTTCATGAAAATATAATTTAAAAGCATGAAAGAGCTGAATGAATTAGAACTGTCAACAGATAGTAGGAGTATGAAGGAGAGGATATGAGCCCTCAACAAGACCTAGCACCATGACCATGATGAAATGTTCTCAAATTATCCCATATTTCAGCTCAAATGTAAGTTAAAACAAGGCTTCAAAAATTTAATACAAAATGTGGCTGTAAGAAAAAGCACATTACTTCAATATACTTTTTTTTCATTATCTACACCACAGCTATTTTCATGTCATTTCTGAATTGTATTCTTTATACTTTATTCATAAATGAATATTACTGTCTATGTTTTATACTTTGTATCAGCTACTCACTGGTACAATGAAAATGAGTATTTATTATTTGGACATAAATATTGCCATGTACTGATGGGTCAACAACATACCCCTGTTCTTTACAGCAGGAAATAAGTCTATATTATTTTATGGCATATTATGTTTTAAAGTGAGAGAAAAGGGCCATGTCACTTGACAGTAATCATTACTATACAGTCAATGTTGGCAACTGCCTGAGATAAAAGTTTAAAGTTTATGGAAAAACTGTAGCCTTCAAAAAAGTTTTGAAAGGGAATATAAAAGCCAACACTGGACAAATTAAAACTTTAATATTGTGATAATGCAAACAGTAAGCAGCCATTCCATTACTGTGATATAGTAAATCATTCTTTTTCATAATACTAACTGACTCACTTCAATTAATGCATTATACTGTTGCAAAGTATACACGTAGCCATATACATTTTTAATAATTTACAAGTGGCTTGTTTAAAAATTTATTTTGTATATATGCTTTCAATACTGTAACTATATCTTTCATAATAAGATTTTTCTATATTATAGCCACATGCTTTCTGCAAATTTCATATTCTTGAGGTGGTTATATGTGAACTTTTCCCAAACATTTCAAATTGCTTTGTTAAAATGTCTTAATGGAGTACCAGAATCATTTGTCAAGAGAATCCTTAAGGCTAATTTGATTACCATAAGAATGATGTTGCACTTCAGAGTTATTTAAGTTGTGATGTCAAAGCCCTCCTGGCAAGACAGAAATGTAAATAAAGAAAAAGGGGAAGCAGCTGTTATGTGTATTCAGTAAGAAACAAGAAAGGGCAAAAAAAGAGAATGCCCCTCAATAAGCACATGCAACTTTAAAGTTAAAATGAAAGAAAAAAAAGGAGATCAAAATATAAAAGAAAGGCAAGTATGGTAAAGCAGCATTGCAATGCAAGTGTAGAGAAAGCAAAGAGGTGTTTCTATGGATGATAATGGCCAGCTGGTCAACTGACTCTTAGTAAAGAGTTTTACATGATGTTTTGATACTCAGTGTATTTTGTGTGCAAATCACAACACTGTAATATGGTCTCCAAATACTGCTCTAAGGGAGGATGTACTGTATTTTATTATAAACTGCTAAGTGCTTAGAAATATTGAAAGCCCTGGTATATAATGTTTTGGTTGTATAATCATATGAATGTTGAAACACACTAACTTGAAAGAAATATTCGAATTACCCACCTTGAGTTCAGCTTTTAGCTTCGGTCGCATTTTTGGCTTGTGGGAGAGTAGAGGCCGATGTAGATGAAAGCTTATGATAGTCTTTGGCTTCTTGGCAACTATTGTCTCAGTTGCATCTTCCTTTGTGGGTGAGTGTTTCTTGGGACGGCCTGGCTTGCGTTTCTTAGAGGATGATGATGACTGGGGCTGCTGCTCCAGATCTGATGGTGAAGACTCTACAGAAGTTTCCGTCTGAAGGACCTTAAGCTCTTTAATAGATGTTTCATTTGCAATGTATTTTGCCTGCTCTTCTTCGCTTTCTTCTTGTCGAGTCTCAGGTGCTGTTGCTGGTAACTTGAATGGAGAGCCTAATTCTGGTGGAGCAGTATCTTCTGATGAAACAGACCACCGTCTAGTTGTGTCTTTATCTGTTTCGTCATCTCCTGATTCCTCTTTTTCAGTAGATACTTGTGTTTCAGGTGTTTTGGGCATCAAATCTGGGCTTTCATTATGGGTAATATGAGTGGAAAATGTAGCAGTGAGGACTGGAGGCTTTAAAATGGATTTATTCATACGTGGTTCATCCTTCTCTTCATCACTATCTTTTCCTGTATCTTTAATCTGGATATCAGTAACTCTCTCTAGAACTGGAGGTGACAGCTCTTTTTGTGGGGATCTCTTCTTCTTATTTGGTGGCCGACCAACTTTTCTCTTACCTGGAATACCATTATTGTGTATTTTTCTCTTTGGAGGTCTACCTGGGCCTCTTTTAGCAGGACTCATAGTTATTTTTTTAGGCTGCAGGCGAGACAGTTCACGCTGTTTTTCCCTATATTTTCTTTGCAACTCGGCCAACTGCATACGCATATCAAGCTCAGCTGGATCCATTGAATCAACAGGAAAACCAGATGGCATTTTAAAGCCAAGAGCAGTATCTTTATGGTACTGAGATGCTTTATTAGCAATAAAAGCCTTTGCTTCACGCTCAGACTCTGGACTCTTGTAATTCCTATTTACATCAGTGGCTTTAATGGGTGTACTAAAAGAATTAGCTAATGCTCCAAATGTAGTTGCACCAAATATGGCTGTGCTAGTTCCACTCCCAAAGGTTCTTCTGGGTGAATTTGTCAGACAACTCGGGCCTGGTTGTGGTGAATCAGTGCGTTCCTGTGGGTAAGTGGGAACACTTGGGGAAGTGGCTGCCACATCAGCCAGGGACGACAGGGCAGGGCACGCCACATGCTCCTCCTCCAGGATGCGCTGCTCAGCTAAGGCACATAGAAGGCTGAGGCCATGAAGGCCACTAAGTGAATCAGGCAAAGGTGAAGCAATAGGAGGGGTGGTGTACAGTGGTGCTGTATTTTCAATAGTTGTTTGGCAAGGCATTTCTGTTGAACAAGCTTGTACCAATACTGGCATCTCGTCCATCTCATTATAATGCATTTCTCCCTCACCTGAAGACATTTCCCCTCTTGTACATGCTTCATCTACACCTGAAGACATCTCATCTTCAGTGGAATATATATTATTTTGTATTTCTGGACTGTCCTTACCCTCTTCATCAGAAAGGTATTCATCTGAAAGTGCACTCTCCTGCAATAAAGAACATTCACTTGCAGAAGTTTTGTCTTGTGGTGAGGTAGAATTCATATCTACTGATGCTCTATCTTGTACTGAAGTGTTTAGATTTATAGAAGTTTCCTCTGGCTCTGAGAAAGAATATTCTTCTGGAGGTATTTCTGCATGTCTTGGTGAGGAACATTCATCAGCATTCACTCTTTCTAGAGATGAGAAACATTCATCTACACATGCATCATTCTTTTGTGAGAGCAAATATTCTTCTGTATTTACATCTTGTGGAGGAGAAGAAGAGGGTTTCTTCACATGTGCTTCTTCTTGCTGCAAAGAACTACTTGTATATTCCTCTGCATGCATGTCCTCTTTTGGTGACGATGAGCACTTATTATCAGAAGTTTCCTCCTCTGATAAATCTGATAATCGATTTGCATGTTGAAGAACACTCCGGGACAAAAGTTCCAGGCCACTTAGATCCATATATGATGGACTTTGTGATGAAGTCTCTGCATCATCACAAGTTGTGCATGATGCATGACAATTTTCTGTGTGCTGATCTTCATATGCTGCTGTATTGGATTCTGAGTGGACACTAGTACACAAAGGTTCCATTTCACTACAAGGAGAAGAAACAGAGTAGTTTTCAACTAATGTTTCTTGGTTATTTGTGACTGGTGATTGATTAGAATTGCTTGAAACATGAGATTTAGTGGAATTCACACAGCAATGCTCAGGAGTAATCACTCTTTGGCTTCCAGAGCAAGAAGTAATGTTATATTCAGAATAGTCAGAAGTTGGAGATTCAGAACATTTGGTTGTCGGTGGTTCAGTAAAACTTTTTACTGTATTTCCATAACAAGTGGTAGCTGACTGTTCAGAGTAGTCAAGGTCAGGGCAACCAGTGGATGACACATCAGAACAATTCATGGTCAAAGACTTAGAATATTCATCTGATGAAGAGTCAGCACAGCTTGTAGTAGAAGGGCTAGGAGAGTTAATGGAAGGAGGATTTGTGCAGCTTGTTGAAGTTCCAGAAAAATACTGAGGAGTAACGAATTCAGAACAACTAGTAATAGATTCTGAGATACTGAGCGTTGTGTGTTTTAAGCAAATATTAGCTGGAGATTCAGAAGGGATTATGGCAGAGGACTCATCAGTTGATGCAGTCTGGGATTCTTGAATGCTTGTATCAGTAAATTTATTAGTTGTTAGAAGATCTGGGTTATTTTGAAAATTTACAGGAGTACTTCCTTTCGATGAGATTACTGGGTATGAAACTGGTAAAGATTCAATTGAAGATCGAGTACTATGGCCCAGAAATACTGCTGCAGAAGAGTTTTTTGCATCTGTGAGTTGACTGGTCGTACAGTTACCAAATGCTTCTTTTTTGACTGCTGGGATGTGATTCTGAGGCAGTTGTCCTTCAGTTGCAGTCTCCCCAACACCAGGAGTACAGGCCTCATCTCTACTGGATCCTACTGGAGATGGGACCTCTTCCTTGATTTCTTGCTTGATTTTAAAAGGTACTGGTAAACACTGAAGATCCCCTTGAGGATGAGGGCGTGACAAAGGAAGTTCCATGTCAGGTTCTTCCTCTGAATGGGATGTAACATTGATTGCATCACTGGATTCTGAGTGAGGTGCTGGTGAACCTGTAGCCACTAAAGCTTCACAACCCCGTGAAGAATAATGATCTAAGCCAATACCTTTTGCCACACTAGTGACAGGAGCTGTGGGTAGGACTGAAAAAGTGGTTGTTATATCAGCAGGCGTAGTGATGGTATTGGTTAGTGATGTAGTTAAAGTGGCAGCTCGGGTTGAAGTAAGACTAGAGCCAATGGTTGTAGATGGTTGGTGTGTAAAAGGAGGAAGGGAGTATGGCGCAGGATGGGTAGACTGTGGACAATAATATGGTAGAGAAGTTCGAGGTGAATATATGAATGGTGGAGGAAGATGACGCAGGCCAGTAGGCAAAGCTGATGGTAGAGTCATTTCACTTCCAGGTGGTGCAGCCCCTTGGCCAGAGGGGGGCACACTGACTGGACGGCTTTTGGGATCCTCTTCTGGTGTTCCTGGTGTAAGTGGGTCCTCTCTCTTGATGGAAGGAGGATTCGAGGCATGGACGGGCGGATGTGGGTGGGAAACATGCAGCAGAGCAGTGTGAGCATGGAGAGCACGATGGTAATGAGCATCAGGGAGTAGTAGCTGTTGTGGTGGTATGACAACAGGAGAAGCAGCTGCAACACCTCCATATCCTGCCCAAACATAACTATGACCACCAGGGTCTGAAGAGGAAGAAAAAGGCTTTTGCATTATAATTACAGTACACCCAATGCCCAAACACTCTTAAGGCAATTTTTCCATGAGCTTATTAAAACTGACAAACAGTAAAATAAATGTTTACATTAAACTTATACAAAATAAACACTATGCATACCACAACATCAGTAAAATACACATACAAGTACAGTACTGTATATTGTCAAAACATCTACTCAGTTTTAAATATAAGAGGTTTTAACATTCTGCATTATTGTGACATACCTGGTATTGCATGTGGGTGTGATAGGAGATAGTAGTGGCCACTCAAGGGGTCTCTGGCAAACTGGTAGCCTAAACCCATTCCTGCTCCCACACCAGCATCTACTCCCACACCTGCTATATTACATATTTCTTCAGAATTTCAACACTGATGAGATGCAGCATTTGTATTATTAAATAACCTCACATGAATAGGCATAGTGAATGAAGTCATCAGTGGGTAATTTAATTCTTCATTCTTTAAAAATATCCAAGAGTGGTTTCTAGTGTCTTACAATATTTTGCATAGTTGGGACACAGCACCGAGCCAATTTAGTAAATATAATTTCTTTTTTTATTTATAGGATTTACAATAGAGCATATAATTAAATTATTAATTGTGAGAGGGTGCCAATAGTTATTATACATACATAAATACATGCATTTACATGATGGTAGGATTGCTGGTGTCTTTTTATTCTGTCTCATACACATGCAAGATTTCAGGTATGTCTTGCTACTTCTACTTACACTTAGGTCACACTACACTTACATGTACAAACATATATATACACACACCCCTCTGGGTTTTCTTCTATTTTCTTTCTAGTTCTTATTCTTGTTTTTGTTTATTTCCTCTTACCTCCATGGGGAAGTGGAACAGAATTCTTCCTCCGTAAGCCATGAATGTTGTAAGAGGCGACTAAAATGCCGGGAGCAAGGGGCTAGTAACCTCTTCTCTTGTATATATTACTAAATGTAAAAGGAGAAACTTTCATTTTTCCTTTTGGGCCACCCTGCCTCTGTGGGATACGCCCTGTGTGTTGAAAGAAAGAAATACATGCATACATACATACACACATATACATACACACTTCTTTTAACGCACAGGTCGTATCCCACTGAGGCAGGGTGGCCCAAAAAAAGAAAATCAAAAGTTTCTCTTTTTAACTTTACTAATATATACAGGAGAAAGGGTTATTAGCCTCTTGCTCCCAGCATTTTAGTTGCCTTTTACAACACACATGGAATACAGAGGAAGAATTCTGCTCCGCTTCCCCATGGAGATAAGAGGAAATAAACAAGGACAAGAACTAGTAAGAAAAATAGAAGAAAACCCAGAGAGGTGTGTGTATATATATGCTTGTATATGCACGTGTAGTGTGACCTAAGTGTAAATAGAAGTAGCAAGACATACTTGCTACTTCAGGAAAAAGACACCAGCAATCCTACCATCATGTAAAACAATTACAGGTGTCCGTTTTACACTCACTTGGCACGCACATGCACGCACGCGCACGCACACACACACACACACTCTCAAGGAAGCAGAGAGGGAGAGGACCTAGTAGTGATCAGTGAAGAGGCGGGGCCAGGAGCTGAGTCTCGACCCCTGCAACCACAATTAGGTTCGTTCGTTCGTTCTCTCTCTCTCTCATTCTCTCGCTCATTTTCTCTCTCTCTCGTTTCTCTCTCTCTCTCTCTCTCATTCTCTCTCTCTCTCTCTCTCTCTCGTTCTCTCTCTCTCTCTCATTCTCTCTCTCTCTCGTTCTCTCTCTCTCTCTCTTCTCTCTCTCTCTCGTTCTCTCTCTCTCTCATTTCTCTCTCTCTCTCTCTCTCTCTCTCTCTTGTTCTCTCTCTCTCTCTCTCTTTTTTTTTTTTACACAGGGTTTGACAAGGTTAAGGATCCCTAGCTTTATTGACAAGCTATTTACAGGTTAAGGATTCCTAACTTTATTGGCAAACTAAGAGCTGTTACCTACATCAGCTCATTTGAAAGCATTTTTATTGTTATGAGACATACAAGTAGGGAACAGGATGAAGTTGGAGCCATCTGTGGGCCAGTATTTTCATTTGATCAACTGACTTTATCTTGTTGACATCATTATGCTGTACGAATGTGTTCCATACTCGAGTCATCCTGGGTATGTATGATCTCAGATGGAGTGATGTTCTGGAGAAGGGTACAGCGAGAGTGAAGTTGCTGCTTTCTGCCCGTCTTGTGGCATAAAAGCTTGTTTCATGCTGTCCTCGAAGTGGATCCAAGTGTGGTATTTTGACAATATTGGCCTTGTACATAACAGTAAGGCCACCCACATCCCTCCTATGTTGAAGGCTCTGCTGAAATGACAGATCTATCCAAGATGGGTCCAGGCGAGAGATGAGACGTCTTGCTTTGTTCTCTACTCTGTCAAGCAGTCGCAGATGAGAGGGGGGGCAGGCAAACCAAGAAAGTGGAGCATACTCAAGGTGTGAGCGTACTTGTGCCTCGTACAGGATCTTGCAACCCCTACTGTCAAGCAGATGCGTGATACGGCGAAGTGCTGTAAGCTTCCTGGCTGCCTTGTTTGCAAGATTTACAACATGGTTCTTCATGGTTAGTTTGGAGTCAAATTTCACCCCAAGGATATCAACTTCTTCTCCAGGTGCCAACACCTCCCATTCATCCTTACTACTGCACCAGCATTACCATCATGGTGCCTAGAGACGATCATCATTTGCGTTTTCTCAGGTGCAAATGTTACTTGCCATCTATTTCCCCAAGCTGATATAGCTCTCAGCTGGTGATTGATGTAGCTTAGAGCAGCTGGCATTTCTTCTCTTGGATAAGTGAATGTCAGTGTACAGTCGTCTGCATATGCATGTGATTCTGGGATGAGATGAAGAAGGTCGTTGAAGTAGACATTCCATAACAATGGACCCAGCACGCTTCCTTGTGGAACACTTGCCCCAATAGGATGTCTTGCTGATTCCGTTCCATTGAGAACTACACTTAGAGATCTACCATGAAGGTAATCACTGAGGAGACATAGCGTAGAGCCTGCAATTCCCAGTGCTTGAAGTTTTGCTAAGAGGCCCTGGTGCCACACCCGGTCGAAAGCGCCAGCAATGTCCAGTGCTACCAAACAGCTAACTTTGGATTCATCCAGTGACTGGTGCCACTTAGTGGAGAGGTTTAACAACAGATCAGCAGCATATTGACGATCACAAAGTAGTGAGTGGTAGTCAAAAAACTCTGTCATTTGTCTTGAGATTATTGTCTCAAGGATCTTACCAGTGATTGACAGGAGTGACACTGGTCTGTAGTTGCTGATTTCTGCTCTGCTCTTCTTTTTGTGAACAGGGACTACATTTGCCTCTTTCCATAGAGAGGGCCATTTACACTGTACTAGGCAGTGCTGAAAGATGCGAGTTAGAGGTGCTGCTAGCTGGTCTGCACATCTTCTCAACAATCTTGGGCTCAACTTGTCTGGGCCCACAGCCTTTTCTTGGTCAAGCGATTTAAGAAGGAAATGCACCTCCTCCTGCCTTATTGTCACCACTGACAGTTTTGACACAGTTCTTGCAGCTAGCCAAGGAGGGTTCCTTGCTGGATCAGGAACTTGCATTTTGGTAGCAAAGTGTTCAGCAAAGAGGTCCGCCTTCTCTTGACTACTAGTAGAGGTGGTCCCATCCTGTCGATTTAGAGGTAGAGGTGGAATAAGTTCATCAGGCAGATAACCCTGTCTGTCCTTGACCAGGGACCACCAGGTTTTGGAGCCTACCCTACCTGATGCTAGCTTTCTTTTAGTGTCCACCTCCCATTTAGCAATGGCCCACTTTTGAACATCACCCATATGCCTACAGGCTTGCGTGTGCAAGTTCCTGTTATAGGTGGTAGGATGTCTTTTATACCTTTGCCATGCTTTGTACTTAGCAGTAGCAGCCTCTCTACAACGAAAGCCAAACCAAGGCTGATCTGTAGGCTTCGTCACATATTGCCGGTGAGGAATGTGTTCTTGTTGTAGATTAAGGATGTGTCCAGTGAAGGCTTTCACTTGGTTGTCCACATCCCCTTGGAGAAGAGCATTCCAATTGGTGGTGGCGAGCTCAGAGCAAAGGGCTGGCCAATTACCTCTTTCCCATAGCCAGGTTGTGCGTGTGGACTCCTCACCTCGTTCTGTTGGGATCTTAAGTGTCGTAAAAACAGCCTTGTGGTCAGACGATCCAACGTAGCCGAGGGGTTGACAAGTGACTATACCTTCTGCCAGATCACTCACTACTGGGTCAAGGGAGGAGCCAGAGATATGAGTAGGGAAATCAACAAAGTTTCTCATGTCAAACACTGCAAGAAGGTCATCAAAGTCCCTCTGTATAAGGTGCTGGTTGAGGTCACCTACAATTATAATATGTTGACAGTTGTGTTGTAGCAGAAGGGAGTCAATATTTTCCATTAGGAAGTTGATGGGGTCTGCATGTTGCCACATGTTGCACCTCCTGTGTTTTGCAGATTTGTCCTCAGATTCTGCCGCCGGAACTGTGTTAGTGGAGGGTGAGACGGCTGTAGATGTCTTCCTCCTCCACGTCCTCTTCCGCGTCCTCTGCCCCGTCCTCTACCAGTTCTGACAGATGTGTCCCTGCTGTTCGTACTTTGGCGCAGTAGGTGATCAGGTGCAGTGATAGTTCCCTGATCATTAACTGCACCAATCTCTGGTGGAGAAACTCCTGGCTCAGAACTTGCTGATGAAGCACTGCTACCAGATTCTGGAATAGTGTCGGCAGGTGTGCTGACAGGTGTAGGATCAGAGATGGTATGTGCACTGTCAAGTGGACTGGCAGTGGCTGAAGCAGAGATGTCAGGTGTAGGAGAATTAACAGATCCAAGGCTTCCCTCATTGCTGGGAAGAGGATTTGTTCCCTCTGTGGTGGTCAGAGGAATTGTGTTAGAATTCCTAAAGGTGGTGTTTTGAACTCTGTCAGTCTGTGGGACCTTAGCGATGACAGAATTCCACCAGTTGTTTACCCCTGAGTTAAGCTCAGTGTGGGACTTCCAGTCTTTGTCAATAGTGTCACCATCAGCTGAGCAGCTTACGTCACTTGAAGTAGGCTTGCACTGGCCTTCTACAATAGCTTGTAGGTTATCTAATGATTTGAGGAGCTCATGAAGTGCTTCCCTATGATGGATTATCTTAGCTGCAACTTTACAACACAGCCCAAGAGGGCAGTCTTGATCTTTGGACAGGAGTCCCTGAGGTAGGACTTCTGAACCTTCCTCCTGTAGCTCCAGGCTTGTATCCACATATACCACAGGATTATGGATATCCTTCAATTTTCTGAAATTTTCAACCTGGCTGCAACAAAATTCTTCTTCTGGAATGCAATCTGTGTGGCAGTAGTTGGAACAAGTAGGTTCCTTACATCTAAGAAGAATTTTGTCCCTTGTGGTATACCCACAAACACTGAAGTAACTACTGGGACAATAGCCAGATAGCGTAGATATTCTTGCTATTTTGCGGTGTGAAGTCATCCCAGAGGAGGCTTGTAGGTTTGCAATGAAGTTCACAGGAGAGAGAGGGTGGGTGGTGGTATCGTGGGTGGGGTGGAGTATCATGGGTGGGGTGGAGTATCATGGGTGGGGGTGTTTATAGCGGGGTTGGTAGTGAGGGCGGCAAGGGCCGACGAGCTGGAAGTGTTGCCTTCTCACTATCACTTAATAAACTCACTCACTCACTCATTCTCTCTCTCTCTCTTTCTCTCTCTCTCTCTCTCTCTCTTCTCTCTCTCGTTCTCTCTCTCGTTCTCTCTCGTTCTCTCTCTCGTCTCTCTCTCGTTCTCCTTCTCTCTTCTTCTCTCTCTCGTCTCTCTCTTCTCGTTCTCTCTCTCGTTCTCTCTCTCTCCTCGTCTCTCTCTCGTTCTCTCTCTCGTTCTCTCTCCTCTCTCCTCTCTCTCCTCTCGTTCTCTCTCTCTCTTCTCTCTCTCGTCTCTCTCTCTTCTCTTCTCATCTTCTCTCTCTCGTTCTCTCTCTCTCTCTCTCTCATTCTCTCTCGTTCTCTCTCTCTCTGTTCTCTCTCTCTCTCTCTCTCTCTCTCTCTCTCTCTCTCTCTCTCTCTCTCGTTCTCTCTCTCTCTCTCTCTCTCTCTCTCTCTCTCTCTCTCTCTCTCTCTCTCTCTCTCTCTCTCTCTCTCTCCTCTCTCTCTGACTCTGAGGTGTCCCTGTTTGCAGATGACGTGAAGTTGATGAGAAGAATTCATGCGATCGAAGACCAGGCAGAACTACAAAGGGATCTGGACAGGCTGCAGACCTGGTCCAGCAATTGGCACCTGGAGTTCAATCCCACCAAGTGCAAAGTCATGAAGATTGGGGAAGGGCAAAGAAGACCGCAGACGGAGTACAGTCTAGGGGGCCAGAGACTACAAACCTCACTCAAGGAAAAAGATCTTGGGGTGAGTATAACACCAGGCACATCTCCTGAAGCGCACATCAAGCAAATAACGGCTGCAGCACATGGGCACCTAGCAAACCTTAGAACAGCATTCCGACACCTAAATAAAGGAATCGTTCAGGACCCTGTACACCGTGTACATTAGGCCCATATTGGAGTAAGCGGCACCAGTTTGGAACCTACACCTAGCCAAGCACGTAAAGAAACTAGAGAAAGTGCAAAGGTTTGCAACAAGACTAGTCCCAGAGCTAAGAGGTATGTCCTACGAGGAGAAGTTAAGGGAAATCAACCTGACGACACTGGAGGACAGGAGAGATAGGGGGGACATGATAATGACATACAAAATACTGAGAGGAATTGACAAGGTGGACAAAGACAGGATGTTCCAGAGATTGGACACAGTAACAAGGGGACACAGTTGGAAGTTGAAGACACAGATGAATCACAGGTTTGTTAGGAAGTATTTCTTCAGCCATAGAGTAGTCAGTAAGTGGAATAGTTTGGGAAGCGATGTAGTGGAGGCAAGATCCATATATAGCTTTAAGCAGAGGTATGACAAAGCTCACGGTTCAGGGAGAGTGACCTAGTAGCGACCAGTGAAGAGGCGGGGCCAGGAGCTCGGACTCGACCCCTGCAACCTCAACTGAGTACACACACACACACACACACAAGAGCTTGGACTCGACCCCTGCAACCTCAACTAGGTGAGTACTAGGTGAGTACTAGGTGAGTACACACACACACACACACGCACATACATATATATATATTAGATTTTGCCACCAAAGTGGCTAGTTCACTGTGCACCCCATATCCATCCTGTGGATGGTAGTGCAATAGCATATGGATACACAAAAGGCCTAGGAACTAGGCCCCAAAAGGGTTAACAGGTGTACATTTGGATTTATATCTACAGTTCACTTATCAGTTACGAGCAAATTTAGGAAATTTGCTTAGTATATCTGGTATCTTATTTTCATTATTAAGATATCTTGAAATGTCACAGGTTATTATACTGTCTATCTCTATATCATTAGCTGGACTTGAGTCCTGGAAATGGGAAATACAATGCCTGCACTTTAAAGGAGGGGTTTGGGATACTGGTAGTTTGGACGGACATCTAAACTGTCGTACAGTATTTGAGCGCCTCTGCAAAGACGGTGATTATATGCATCTAATCCACTTTATTTTGGAAAAAAAATTTATGTTGAAAAGTTTGAGAATTTCAATTAGTTTATATTAAGTTTTATACTGAAGTAATAATGTTCTTACCAGAAAATTGACTCTGAGTGAGCCAAAATGGTGCTGTTGAAAGTCCAGGAGTACATGGTGTTGGAGGAAGTGGCCAGTGGGTAGGTAAAGTGGTTCCTCCTGGGGAACTACCCCCAGACGGCAATGGTCCTGCCAAAGAGTCATCTTGTGGCCGAGATTCCTGACGTTGGCGGGCAACAGCAATACCCACTGGAATACCTCCTCCAGCTGTTGAGAGATATTGCTTAGATAGTAAAGATAGTACATAAATGCATATTACTAATAATATTAAGACAATATACATGAGAAAAAGTTAAAGAGCCTGTAATATCACCTGTTACAGAAGGAGTAGGTCGTTCTTCAGTGCGTACAGTTTTACGAGACGTTCGAGTCGAATCGCCAGCAACAGCCGTGGCAGGGGGAGCCACACGGGGTACAGCCAATTGCGTTAGTGCCACAATTGGTGGGCATGAGCTTGGTGTTGCATCACCTACTGAGATTGGTGTATTAGTAGGTGATAAGGAAGGAGTAGGTGAAAGTATAGTGGAAGGTATAATTAATGGTGAAGTGTGAGGTCTTGTTCGGCGTTCTTGGGCATATGCCTGCAGAAGGCCAGGAGTGGTACGTGAACATTGATCACCCATCAGAGGAGCTAAACGATTTCTTTTTGCTTCTTCACTGCCATCATTTGGTGACTTTAGTCTTTTAAATTCACCTACATTACCTCGTGTGCTTGTTTCTTCTGTACCATCTATGGAAATGCAAAGATGAAAAGTAAAATCAATAACTTTAACAAAATAAAGATAACTGAACAAAATAAAGCAAAATTAAATAAAAGACAATCATTACATCATATAATAACAACATTTAACACCCTTACTAACACATACAGTATAGAACATGAACATAAAAACATATGGTGCAACGTTCTACAATACTACTAATTGAAAACTTAATAGTACTACTAGTTGAAAACTTAATAGTACTATTAGTTGAAAACTTAATAGTACTACTAGTTAAAAACTGAACAGTACTACTAGTTGAAAACTTAATAGTACTACTAGTTGAAAAAATAAATAATACATTACAACAGCACTACCTCTCACTACTGTGGTGACAAACTGAATCTTAACAAAACAGACAGAGGTTGAGGATCAAAATTAACTCCTAAAAAAAGACTGGAACACTAAAAACACCCCTTGTAGAAATCTGAACATAATCTTCGACTCCCAGTACCAGGGCATTAAAATATTTGGGTTAAGGCATCCTTGGGTTTGAGTAAGAAACTTTATCTCATTTATCTGACTAGATAACTATGAACCAGTTCGGTTTTCTTGACAAATCAATGGGGCTATGACTATACCTGAATAGCAGGAAAATGTTGTAATGAAAATAATTTCCTGCAATTTCTGCAATATATAGGAATAACTAGGATAGTGGATAGAGGGGCAATGTGGCAGATGTTGCAAGTACAGTGGACCCCCGGTTAACGAACTTTTTTCATTCCAGTAGTATGTTCAGGTGCCAGTACTGACCGAATTTTTTCCCATAAGGAATATTGTGAAGTAGATTAGTCAATTTCAGACCCCCAAACATACACGTACAAACGCACTTACATAAATACACTTACATAATTGGTCGCATTTGGAGGTGATCGTTATGCGGGGGTCCACTGTATATGGAATAAGTAGTACATTACTAAATGCTGTAAAGAATTTTTATGAGGATAGTGAGGCTCAGGTTAGGGTGTGTAGAAGAGAGGGAGATTAGTTCCCGGTAAAAGTAGGTCTTAGACAGGGATGTGTAATGTCACCATGGTTGTTTAATATATTTATAGATGGGGTTGTAAAAGAAGTAAATGTTAGGGTGTTGGGGAGAGGGGTGGAATTAAATTATGGGGAATCAAATACAAAATGGGAGTTGACACTTACTTTTTGCTGATGATACTGTGCTTATGGGAGATTCTAAAGAAAAGTTGCAAAGGTTAGTGGACGAGTTTGGGAGGGTGTCTAAAAGTAGAAAGTTGAAAGTGACCATAGATAAGAGTAAGGTGATGAGGGTATCAAATGATTTAAAGAAAAATTGGATATCACATTGGAGAGAGGGAGTATGGAAGAAGTGAATGTTTTCAGATATTTGGGAGTTGACATGTCAGTGGATGAGTTTATGAAGGATGAGGTTAACCATAGAATTGATGAAGGAAGAGAGGTGAGTGGTGCATTGAGGTATATGTGGGGACAAAAAATGTTATCTATGGAGGCAAAAAAGGTATAGTGGTACCAACACTCTTATATGGGTGTGAAGCTTGGGTTGTAAATGCTGCAGCAAGGAGTCAGTTGGAGGCAGTGGAGATGTCTTGTCCAAGGGCAATGTGTGGTGTAAATATTATGCAGAGAATTCGAAGTGTGTAAATTAGGAGAAGGTGTGGAGTTAATAAAAGTATTAGTCAGAGGGCTGAAGAAGGGCTGTTGCAGTACTTTGGTCATTTTGAGAGAATGGATCAAAGTTGAATGACATGGAGAGAGTGTAAATCTGTAGGGGAAGGAAGGCAGGGTAGAGGTCATCCTTGAAAAGGTTGGAGGGAGGGGCTAAAGGTGGTTTTGTGGGTGAGGGGCTCTGACTTCCAGCAAGTGTGCATGAGCGTGTTAGATAGGAGTGAATAGAGACGAATGGGTTTTGGAACCTGATGAGCTGTTGGAGTGTGAGCAGGGTAATATTTAGTGAAGGGATTCAGGAAAACCAGTTACTTTTATATAGCCGGACTTGAGTACTGGAATTGGGAAGTACAATGCCTGCACTTTCAAGGAGGGGTTTGGGATACTGGCAGTTTGGAGGGATGTTATATATCTTCATATATGTTTCTAAACTGTTGTATCTGGGCACCTCTGCAAAAACAGTAATTATGTATGAGTGAGGTGAAAGTGTTGAATGATGATGAAAGTTTTTTCTTTTCAGGGATTTTCTTTCTTTTTGGGCCGCCCTGCCTCGGTGGGAGATGGCCGAATTGTTGAAATAAAAAAAAAAATATAATGAATAAATTAACTCCATATAACAGGCTTGAAGCTGGGAAAGAGGTAAAAGTTATAAAGCTACTGAGAATTAGCATGCAATTAGCAGGGCAACTTTAAAAACTAATACATGTATGCCTGTGAGGATGAGAAATGTGTCGTAAGAATGAAGCAATAGCTTTCTGGAATAGCTAACTTAAGCACAAGTTTTGAAGAGGTGCCCCAATACAACAGTTCAGATGCCACTCCAAACAGCCAATATCCGAAACCTCTCCTTTAAAGTTCTGGCATTGTTCTTCCCACCTCCAGGACTCAAGTCCGGCTAACTGGTTTCCCTGAATCCCTTCACAAAATATTACCCTGCTCACACTCCAACAACTTGTCAAGTCCCAAAAACAATTCATCTCCACTCACTCCTATCTAACATGCAGTGGCAGTTCGTTCATAGGAGCTGCAGAGCTGCAGTCCCCCCAGATGCTCACTGCCAGGCGTATGACTTCATCAACCTAACACTAAAATAATTTGCAACTGACAAATATACTACAGGAAAAATCTGTTGTATGTTGTTTTCAATGTATTTATAAGCAAATTTTTTATTTTTTTGTTGAAACGAGATAAAAAATTATTAAAAATACAAGTTTGATGCGGCATGATAGTAAAGGTATTATTGGCGCTACAAGCCATCGCTGCTAACATGTATATAAAAAAAATGGAAAGATTTGAAATACTGTAAGACAGAAATGACATATGGAATTAGGAAGCTACTGAAAGCAGCAAAGAGTTCCTAAATAATTCCAGCCATCTTCCCACGAGGTGGGTGGCCTTACGAAGAAGAAAATACTACGAAGAAGAAAAGACTACAAAGAAGAAAAGATTACAAAACAAACACTATGAAGAAGAAAACACTCCAAGGAAGAAAACACTATGAAGAAGAAACACTACAGAGAAGAAAACACTTGGTAGGTAGCAGGCAGTGGCGGCTCGTCCATAGGAGCTGCAGAGCTGTAGTACCCCCAGATGCTCACTGCCAGACATATGATTTCATCAACCTTACGATAAAATAATTTGCAACTGACAAATATATTACTCTAGGTAGGCTGGTAGACAGCAACTGCCCAGGGAGGTACTAGCGTTCTGCCAAGTGAGTGTAGAACGGAAACCTGTAATTGTTTTACATGATGGTAGGATTGCTGGTGTCTTTTTCTGTCTCATAAACATGCAAGATTTCAGGTACGTCTTGCTACTTCTACTTACACTTAGGTTACACTACACATACATGTACAAGCATATATATACACACCCCACTGGGTTTTCTGCTATTTTCTTTCTAGTTCTTGTTCTTGTTTATTTCCTCTTATTTCCATGGGGAAGTAGAACAGAATTCTTCTTCCGTAAGCCATGCGTGTTGTAAGAGGTGACCAAAATGCCGGGGGTAAGGGGCTAGTAACCCCTTCTCTTGTATGAATTACTAAATTTAAAAAGAGAAACTTTCGTTTTTTTTTGGGGGGCCACCCTGGCTCGGTGGGATACGGCCGGTGTGTTGAAAGAAAGAAGACCTATACAAAAGTATAGGTATTACTGCCATTATGAGCCGCCACTGGTAGGAGGTATGAAGAATACTACAAAGAAGAAAACACTACAAAGAAGACACTATGAAGAAGAAATATTATGAAGAAGAAAATATGTACTACAAAGAAAAAGTACTTACTAAACAATATATTCTGTGTTTAAACATGTGTGTTAATAGTTAATGTCAAAAAGAAGTTAACACATTCCAGTGTCACGTGAAGTACCAAAAAAGCCATTCGCTTCTATTCATTCTAATCAAATAGGCTCACACCTACCTGCTGGATGCTCAAGCCCCTACCTTTCAAAACCTCCTTCAGGCCCTCCTTCCAACTCTTGCTTCGAACATTTTCTACACATACTTCCTTCCATTCAATTTACACCCCTTGATCAACTGGTCTTGCTCTAACTTTTTTACATAACAAAATTCATCTAAGTACCCTCTCCTCTAATGTATTCTTTTATTTAACTATACTATTCATGTCACCAGACTGTCTTCTAATTTCTTCACTCTTCATTCTCTGCATAATATTCACACCACACGAAAGATCCACTGCCTCTAGCCTCCTCCTCACTGTAACATTTAAGATCATTCTCCACATCTACACAAAAACATTGGCATAACTACTCTGTAATCTGATACATTTCCCCTTTTTTAATCCACTGACAAATTTTCTCAATAGATTTCTCAATATTCCTCGGACATAACTTCTTTCCTTATCTTACTGTGATTTACCTCATCTTTCTTTGACCCACCTGCAGACATCCTTTTCAAAACATCTAAATTCATTCCCTGCCTCCATATACCTTTCCAAATTTACCCCCAATCTTGCATTCTCTAAATGTTTATTTACTCTCACATCATTACAAGCTCAAAATAGGAAAAAAAAAAACGAAGTGGCATGCAGTCACAAACCTAAGTACTCTCGTATTGCAAGCTGTATCTGAAAGACACTTGAAGGACATTTTTGGGGGTCACTGCACCTGCAGTCCAGTCCTATGAGTTAATAGGGTTATCGAAACTTATTCCTTGGGTAGCATTGAAAATGGGTTGGGCAAATATTTTTGTTAGTGGGTTTGGGTTTGAGCAAGACCTGCCTAGTATGGGCCAATAGGCCTACAGCAGTGTTCTTCCTTTCTTATGTTCTTATGAACTCTTACATTCAGTTTGGTAAGCAAATCATATCTAATCTAAGGGTTCCTCTGCAGCAACCACCATAATTTAACATCATTGTTGTGA